TAAGGAACAGTGAGATAATTTTGGGATTGTCCTTCCTCATGCTTGGGAAAATGCCTGGTGGATGGGGGATTGAGGGGGCCAGTCGCACAAGGGTTGTGAGATGTACTGAAGGAGAGACAGATAGGTGAAGGACGAAGATCATATACACGGACACCTGCCTCTTGAACAGATGACAATTTAATGCTAGTTAACACAGAGCTTTTATACCATTCGTGAAGGGGCAAGACAAAGAAAATTCTTTCACATACATATCTTTTAAAAGTTACCATCTAGTGGTCTTAGTAGCGAACAAACCAAGATTCTCATAGGCTTTAGTAGCAAACAAACCAAGATTCCCATAGGCTTTAGTAGCAAACAAGCCAAGATTCTCATAGGCATTTAGACAAGTCTTATTCATAAAGCCAACAATGATACTTTCAGTCCAATGTCCCAAATTACAGTCCTTGAAATGTCTCAAGAAAGTTTCTTTAAGTGTATATTTCTTTATGTGTCAGGAATTTTCTCATCTTAGGCTCTTATGTTCTTCAGAGTCCTGTGATCGCCTCCCTTGTCCAGATGTCCTCGTTACTTTTCTCTTATCTTGCAGTGCTTGTTTCTAAAGAGAACTCAAAAGAAGCTTTTAGTAATGTTTCCCAGGCCCCTCAAGGTTACTTTCTGTTTTAGCTGATCTGTCATAAAAGTGTCTGATTATTATATTATGAGTTCAGTGAAAACCTACTCTATAAATGTTAACTTAGAGTTTTAACTATAGAGTTAAGTAAAAACCTTAACATTAACCTTTATCCTAAGTCAGTGAAAACAGTGTTATATATCACCTACATAACTCCTAGATAAGTGTTAAAACTTATAATGAATTCATAATAAACTACTATAAATTTGTGCTTGTAAAAATTCTTATGTCTAAACACTAAATTGCATAATTCTATGCTTCTAAAAAACCTTATGTCTAAACACTAAACTGTATAATTCTAAATCAAATAAAGAGTGAATATACTTATATCATTTATTACTTAAGCAATATCTAGTAACTTATAACCAAGTGAAAGAAAGCATTCTTGATGTGCTTCAGAGTTTAACCCTTGCATATGTTAGAAAAGGCCAAGTGGCATAGTGGGAAAAATGGAAAAATAAACCATGACATTTCCAGGTTAGCTGTGAGTACTTCACATAAACATGCCATTTTCTTCTTCCATGACTGCACAGAATTCTTTGGTGGTATCAAACAGCAAAAGTGAAAGACAGAAGGGCCTCAGCTTCCTGGGCTCGCCCTGTGGCCCGAGGTCTTCAGCCCACCCGGACCCTGTCAATCAGGTGGACCTCCAAGGTTGGCTCCCAACAGGGGATGCCCTCATCCATCTGGCTTGGTGTTCACGTGACAGTTTTGTGATTTAATTGGGATTGTCCTTTCTCGTGCTTGAGGAAACACCTGGTGGGTGGGGGACGCCCCTCATCCACCTGGCTTTATGTTCATGTGAAAGTCTTGTGATTTAACCTGTGAAAATTTAGGATAAAAGACTTACAGTTTGTCCCATTAAATGGCTTCTGCACTAGACAGAGTCCAGTCTCTTTCTTTCTTTTATCTATCCCTTCCAGTTTCGCCAACACTGCCACATCTTTCCAGGGACTCCCCAAAACCTGCAGGGGTTGGCCCCCTGCAGATAATACATTACAGGAACATTTGATTTGAACAACATCCTGCAGGTAAATTAAATTTGTATACATAAATTTTAAATGTGACTTATTTTAATAGAAATATTCTAATTGGCTTATGATTTGCATGCCATTGAATGGGCAAACTTTCAACAGTCATATTAATTTAGTAAAATACATATCCATTACAAATAATTTTTGTTCATGTTCCATCACTTCAAGACTGGGAGCACTGAATTAGGTTCTCTTTTTTTAGGGATGAGATTCTGTGATTCTAACCTCCACTGGCATATATTATAAAGATGTGTGGTACAATTCAGGATTAGGTATACAAATGTTGATTATGCAGGTACCCTTGTTGATGAGGTATGACCCTTCCTCTCCTAGCAACTTTCCTCAACTGTTAATCCCACCCCCTCTTCTCTGACAGTTTCCCACTGCTGCCAATTCCTTTCTTATAGTATTATAATGATTGTTCAAAGTCCGCTCATGAGTGAAAACATATGGAATCCTGTTTTTTGTTTCTGTGACAGATCACTGAGTACGAGCGACTCTAAAGCCATCAAAGTTGCTGTGAAGTCCATATGTTTGTCCTTCTTTAATATGGGCAGCCAATACACACATGAAAAAGTGCTCAGCCTCACTCATCATCAGAGAAATGCAAATCAAAACCACAGTGAGATACCACCTCACCCCAGTAAGAATGTCCATCATTAATAAAACCAACAACAGATGCTGGTGAGGATGCAGAGAAAAAGGATCACTTTTCTGCATTGCTGGTGGGAATACAAACTAGTGCAACCTCTTTGGAAGAAAGTGTGGTGATTTCTGAAAGAACTAGAAATTGACCTTCCATATGACCCAGCAGTTCCCCAATGGGGTTATATCTGGAGGAACTCAAGTCATTCTACACAAAAGATAACCTGCACATGTATGTTTGTTGCAGCTCTATTCACAATAGCAAAAACATGGAACCAACCATGTTGCCCATTGAAGCTGGACTGGATTTTTAAAATGTACATATCCACTGGCTTCTTAAAGACTGGATCTGGATCTTTGTCTCCTTTCTTCCCCCACCCCTCTTTCTCTCTCTCTCTCTCTCTCTCTCTCTCTCCTTCTTCTTCTTCTTCTTCTTCTTCTTCTTCTTCTTCTTCTTCTTCTTCTTCTTCTTCTTCTTCTTCTTCTTCATCACCCTCCCCTCCCTCCCTCCCTCTCTCTCCCCCCACATACATATATCAATATACATATATGCATATATGTATATGTGGACCCCCAAAAATGGAAAGTTATAAAAATTGTGCTTATTATCACATTTAAATTTCAGTCACCTTCAAAGATCTCTGATGTAATAGACCTATCAAGATGCTTTTTCACTGCTCGAAAGTTTTTGAACTTCTCAATTGTCGTGCCTTTTAGTGCTTCTACAGTGTTGTGTTTCATCTCTTCCATATCAGCAAAACTTTGAGGACATTTTCATTCAGGGGAAACAAACAAACGAAAACATCTCTAGAGGCCAGGTGAGGTAAACAGGAAGAATGGGGCACAGGAGACATGACATTTTTGGTGAAAAACTCAGCAGAGTGTGGGCAGTTCCATTGTCATGATGTAAGAACCAGTCATCTGTTTGCTACTACTTGGGACAATTCTTCCACAAATCATGATGAGCTTCTCAAAATTTCCAGATAAAAACTGGTTTGATCAGGAGGAACAAATTCTGAGTTTACTACCAGGGGCTTGCCCTCCAAAAGATAATTACTTTTTTGGGGGGATGCCCCCTCACATATATATGTATTTATATATATATATGTGCATATAAGTACATATATTTATATATACGTATATATGAGATTTTGATGGAAATTAAGATAGTTATTTACTTTATCATGTGAAACTCATAATCACTTAAGAATATAGTCTCTCTATTACAAATTTTGCATATTGAATCAATCATTCATACATATGAATATATTTATGCACTTAAATTTTATGTATCCATCCTGCTAGTATATGGTGCCAGTGTTAGTTGTTTAGTCAAACATTAGTCTAGATGTTGCTGTCAAGGTATTTTATTTGCAGATGTTATTAATAATTACAGTTTACTCCCTTAGTGTGAAGATTACTCTCAGTATGCACATTTTGGGAGTATATATACAAATATATATTTATACATATGTAGACACACATATATTCATCCATAGAAATATACACCCACATATACACACACATAGGAGAACACAAAAAATACAGCAATTATATTTTTGGAGGGTGGACCTCTTGTAGTATAGGCCTCCTCTGTTAGGCATTCACTGGGAAGAGTGTCCCAGCTAGTATGCAATTTATGAGGGGGATTGGAGAGGGAAGGGAGAATGGAGAGAGAGAGGAGAGAGAGATTTAAAGAATATATTTTAAGGATATATGTATATATATATATATATATATATATATACAAATGTATGCAAAGCAATGCAAATGCAAAAGAATAGTCGTTTTGAGGAATTAACTCATGATTTGGGGAGGGGCAATTCTGATGTCCGTAGGGTTGCCTGTTAGGTTGGAAACTCTGTCAAGTGGTGTGTGGTCCTCATCCAATCAATGGGAGGTCTCAAGAGCAAAAGCTGAGATTTCTTAAAAAAAAATAATAATAATTCGGCTTTAAGACCATATCATAGATATCTTGTCTGAGTTTCCAACCTGACAGATAACGATATAGATTTCAGAACTGCAGCTCCCAACATCCTGAGTTAATTCCTTAAAATAAAAATATTTAATATACATTTATATGTGTAATCCTTAAAATAAATGTAAAGTCTCTGCCTGTGTCTCCTTATAAGCATCTACATATCTACGTATCTATATGTTTGTGTGTGCCTATGTATAAGGGTGTAGATATGTGAATGTATTTACTTGTATGTATATGTCAATATGTGTATACACATATATTCCCAAAATGTGCATATTTTGGTTCAGAGTAGGAATATGAATAAAACCCTCCAAAATTTTGTGCATCGGATAGGAAAATAATTGCTTCTCTAAAAGAAAGAATAAAAGTAATGAACAATACAAATAATAACAGCCAGTGGTTGCACGGATAAAGCAAGCATCATGTCTCCCCTAAAAAAAAGAGTGTAGAAAGAAAGTGAAAAAGAATTAAAAAGCTTCTGCTGTTTTCCTTTGGATTGTCTCATAAAGTCAAAGTGAACCGACTGAGGGGAAATTTGTTTCCCAAAGAGAAAGGACAACACAATTTTTCCAGATCACCAGATAAAATACAGCTTTAAAGGTTGGGGCGGGGCCCGGGGGCGCTGCCTCCTAGCAGGGGCCACTCGCACAAGCTCCGCTGTGAGGCTCGGATGCCGGGCCAGGCGGCGGCTGGAAGGAGAAGCCACGCTTCGGCAGGCGCGGGGCTCCGCGAGGGCTTCCCAGCCCCTTCCCGGAGGCGAGCGGGCGCGTGTCCTGCGGGGGGGAGGGCTGCGTGTGGTGTCCCGGGGGCATGTCGGTGGAGCAGCGGCCCAGAGCGGCTGGACCAGGGCCTGGCGCGCTCTCATCTCGTGCACCGCTTCGTGGGGCGCCGAGACCACTCTGTCCGCGAAGCCGCCGGTCTGGAGGCGGCCGACCCCAAGCCCAGAGCTGCGTGGTCTCGGGCAGAGGCCCCAAGGAGCCTCAAGTCCAGGCTGCGGCTGTCTCGTGGGGCCAAGGCTTGGCAGAGGCTTTCTCGGTTCAAGCCCTCGGTCCTCCGCGGGGCCCTGGGAGGACAGGCCTTGCACCTGAGGTCCTGGCTCTTGTCAGAGTAGGGCCCTGCAGAGACAGGTGAGCAGGACCAGCCCCGGGGCCCCGGGGTTCCAAACAGGCTGCTCATCACAGCCCTGCTTGGGGCAGGGCTGGGCGTAGCCTGGCTGGTCATGAGGACTGAGAAGGAGCAGTGGTGGCGGCAAAGGGGAATCGAGGCCATGCGCCAGGCAGCTGCGGGCCAGGGCGACTTCAGCCTGCTGGGCCACCACGGCCGGGCTCGCCGCAAGGCCGACTTCCAGGACCAGTGGGTGCTGATGTACTTCGACTTCACCCACTGCCCCGACGTCTGCCCGGACACGCTGGAGAAGCTGGTGCGGCTGGCGCAGTCGCTGAACGCCGAGCCCAGCCTGCTTCCCTGGCAGCTCGTCACTATGGACCCTGAGAGTGATGACGTCACAGCCATGGCCCGATCCGTCCAGGACCTCCACCGCCAGTTGCTGGGCCTGGCGGGATCCCCTGAGCAGGTCGCCCAGGCCAGCCTCAGCTACCGCGTGTACTACCAGGCCGTCCCCAAGAACGAGGACCAGGACTACATCGTGGACCACTCTATTGTCCTCTACCTGCACAGCCCCGACAGCCTCTTCACAGATTACTGAGCATATCTCCGACAGTGTGCAGCGGGACAAGATTGCCTTTCACAGAGTCCTGCCCTGAGCTGCTGCAACCTGAGCCCCGTCCATAAATGGCATGTGTTTGACGAAAAAGAAAACAAAAGTTTATATTCCCCCACTCCTCTACAAAAGTGCATAAAATTAAAAATAGAGAAGAAATCAAAAGACAGGTAAAGAGGAGAATGGAAAAACAAACATAGATACTGTATGAATAATCACAGATTGTCACATTCCTCTGGAATATATGAAACTATGGACATTTTCCAAAATAAAGGTTGTATTTTTCCACTTTCTTTCACTGGTACTTATAAATATGTTTCTTAGGTTATTATTTTTGGAAGGAGGATTTCTCGTTTAATAATTTCTTTTTAGGATATCAATGTATATCATGCTCAGTTATGCAGTGAAACTCTAATAGATGGACAAAAACAATGCAATGAATAATTTTCAGAGCTCAAAAATTACTTGATTGGAGATACAGAAGAGATGTGCCAACAAATTGGAAGAGCGCATGCTTCTTCTAGACTAACACTGAATAGAAATATTGGACAAGCCATTAGTGTGAGTCACATATATAATTTCTAGTAGCTACATGAAATAAAAATAAATGTGATAATTTTTAATGTAATCCAATTTATACAAATTCTTATTATTTCAAATTGTGATAAAAATAAAAGTACTAAGGAGATATTTTACATACGTGTTTCACATTAACCTTAAAAAATCTGATGTACATTTGCATTTATAGAACTTCTCAGTTCATACTATGCAAGTTTCAAGTGCTCTGTGTTCACATGTGACTAGTAGTTACTCTATTAGAAAGTGAAGTTTCTGAGAAATAAACATCAACCTAAGCTGCTAGTGTCATCTGGAGAGCATTAAAACAAACAAACAAAAACCAAATAACACAATACTTTAGGCCTGCCACCAGGGATTCTGCTTTTGTTGGCCTGAAGTGATGCTTAAGTGTTGCTTTCTAAAAATCTCCTTGATGATTACAAACCATAAAAATCTTAGTCTGAGACTCAAGTAAAGCAAACTACCTGGAATAGAGAAGTGTAACAGAGAGAAAAACTGCTGTGGTGCACACTGATTTAGATCATTACCACTTTGTTCACTATCATCTAACAATAGTTTACCTTGGGGATATTAACTGTGTGAATCCTGAATACTGACTTTCAAGGAGAAGTGATGACATTTACACCTATTCACAATATTAGACACATTGGTTTGGATTTTTAAATCTGCATTGAATTCTAGAAAGCACATCTAAAGAAGAATAAATGTTTATGCCCCATTACATATCCTTACAGACTAACCATCATCAAGAGATTTGTTTTATAAATGATTTAGAAAAGTAATCATTTTCCCCCCAGGTGCTATGGATACATGAGGAACAATGATTTGAAGATCATCATGAGAAATTCTAATTCTGATGATGTTACTTAGTTTCTCAAATACTGTTCTTTCCTCACCATGGATGTTAGAGTTTTATACTCCAGCTTATAAAAGAATTTTCTAAAAACAAGTCTTTGCAAATAGTATAATCCATATATATTTATATACAAATATATATTTACTATAGATGAATTTTAAAAATAAATATATGGAAATACTTCTGTAATAATGAACTGACAGGCTGAAGGTACAGACATATCTCAGACATAATGCTGGTTATATTTCAGAAAACCACAAAAAAGTGAATATTGCAATAAAATGAGTCACACAATTTTGGGGGTTTCCCAGTGTACATAAAATTATGTTTACTTCATATCGCAGTCCATTAAGTGTGAAATAGTATTACATCAAATAAAGAGCAATGTACATGTTTTAATTTAAAAATTGCTATAAAATGTTAACAATCATCTGAACCTTCAGTGAGTTGTATTGTTTTTGATGGTGGAGGGTCTTGCCCTGATTTTGATGGCTACTGACTGATCAGAGTAGTGACAGCTGGAGGCAGAAGTGGCTATAGAAATTTCTTACAATAACACAACAGTGAGCTTTGGCACTTTTACTTTTACTTTTATATGTAAATTGCAATGCTGTTGCACAGCATTTTACCTACAGTAAAACTTTTTTTTTTTCAAAAATGGAGTAAATCCTCTTAAACCCTACCTATCAACTATCAACTAAATTTAAGTCATATATCAAATTGTTGGCTCTCATTTCAAAAATCTTCACAGTATCTTCACCTGGAGTACATTCCATCTCAAAAAATCATTTTGCACATCAATAAGAAGCAACTCCTCATCCATTAAAATTTTGTCAAGAACCGGGCTCGGTGGCTCAGCCTATAATCCTGCACTTTGGGAAGCTGAGGTGAGTGGATTGCCTGAGCCTGCAGGTTTAGAGACCTACCTGGTCAACTTGGCAAGACCTCATCTCTACAATAAATTAAAAAAAAATTAGCTGGGTGTGGTAGTGCGCACCTGTAGTTCCAGCTACTGGGAAGGATGAGGCGGAAGGATCATCGGAGCCCAGCAGGTCGAGGATGCAGTGGCCGGGAAGGGTGACAGACTCTGTCTGGGTGACAGAGTGAGACTCCAACTCAAAAACAAAACAAAAAGTTTTGTCATAATGTTGCAGCAATTTAGTCATATATTCAGGCTAAACTTTGAATTCTAGTTTTTTTTTCTATCTCCACCATAACTACAGTTACTTACACCACTGAAGTTTTGAATTCTTTGAAGTCATTCATGAATATTGGAGTCAACTACTTACAAGCTACTGTTAATGTTGATATTTTGACCTCTTCTCATGAATCACAAGTGTTCTTCATGGCATTTAGAATAGGGAATCTTTTTCAGAAGGTTTCCAGTTTACTTTGACGAGATTCATTAAAGGAATCACTATCTACAAGAGTTATATTTGTGAAATGTATGCTTAAATAATAAGAATTGAAAGTCAAGATTATTCCTTGATCAATGAGCTGAAGAATGGTCATCGTGTTAGTAGTCATGATAACAACATGAATCTTCTTGTATGACTGCATCAGAACTCTTGGGTGACAAAGTTAATTTTCAATAAGTAAGCAGCAATATTTTTAAAGAATTTTTTTTCTGAGTGTTAGGTCTCAACAGTGGGCTCAAAATATTCAATAAACCATGATATATACAGATGTGTCATTATCTAGACCTTGCTGTTCCATTTTTGAAGCATGGGTAGAGTAGATTTAGCAACGTTTTTTATAAGCACTAGGATATTCAGAATGGTAAATGAGCAATGGCTTCAACTTTAAACCACAAGCTGCATTAGCCCCTAATAAGAGAGTCAGCCTATCCTAAGCTTTGAAGCCAGGCATTGACTTCTCCTCTCTAGCTACGAAAATTCTAAATAGCATCTCCTTCCAATAGAAGATTGTCTTGTTTACCTTTACAATTTGGTTGTTTACTGATCACTATCATCAATGATCTTAGGTAGATCTTCTTGATAAGTTTCTGCAGCAAATAAAAAAATGTAAAGGTTTCTGCAGCTTCTCCATCAGCACTTGCTGCTTCACTTTGCATTTTTTAATAGAGACAGCTTCTTTTCTTAAACCTTAAGAGCCAACCTCTGCTACCTTCACACTTTTATTCTCTAGCTTCCTTGCATCTTCCAGACTTCATGAGATTGAAGAGTTTTAGTGTCTTGCTTTCAATTAGGTTTTGGCTCAAGAGAAAATTGTGGCTTATTGATCTTCTATCCAGATCAGTAAAACTGTCTCCATACCAAGAATGAGACTGTTTTGCTTTCTTATCCTTTGTGTGTTAACTTTAGATTTCCTTCAAGAACATGTCCTCTCATTCACAATCTGGCTAATCACTTGATATAAGAGGACAGTTTTCAGCCTATTTTTGGTTTTCAAAATGCTCCCTTAGCTTAATCACTTCTATATTTTGATTTAAATGAAGGGACATGGGAATTTTGCTTTCAATTGAACATTTAGAGGCTACTGTGGAATTATCTATAAAATTACAATATTGTTGTAACTCAGGTAACAGGCAGATCCCAGGAGAAAGAGAGAGTTGGGGGGAAGGATGGGTTGATAAAGCAGTTAGAACACATAATATTATCAATTAGTTTATATTATATCAGAGTGGTTCATGGAACTCCCCAAAATTAAAATAATAACATCAAAGATCACTGATCATAGATCACCAGGAAGATATAATGAAAATGTTTGCAATATTGAGAGAATACTAAAATGTGATAAAAGAGACATGCAGGGAGCACATGTTGTAGGGTGTGCTGATCGACTTGCTCAAGGCGGGGTTACCACAAAACCTCAATTCATAAAATATACAGTATCTGTGAAGTGCAGTAATGTGAGGCACAATAAAACCAGGTGTCCTTTCAGCTCCACCTGTGATGACTGTATTGACCCAGGATAGCAAAGTATGCTTTGTGCACCTGCAGCTGCTGAAAGCTGCAGAATCCAATGTCTCCCTCCAGATCTCACATCCTTTTATAGTAAGATGGTGATCCCATGCACATTAAATTTTGAAATACAACAAGGTGTTATTCTGAAGGATTATTGAATGGAAGTTGATTTTGGAGGTGGAATAAAGTAGAATCTAAGAAAGAGTTAGAATGTGAGGAGAAACAGTTCCTTAAAGGGACTGAAGTAAATTATATAACTTATTGCTCCTAAGCCACAAACTGTACAGAATGTTACTTTACTGAATGCTGGAGATGACTGTAACACAATTCTTAGTAGTTGTATATCTAAACATATCTAAATATTAAAAAGGTAGAGTAAAAATACAGTATAAAAGATAAAACATGGTTCGCCAGTATAGGGCAATTATCATGAATGGAGATTGCAGGACTGGAAGTTGCTCTGGGTAAGTCATGGAATGAGTGGTCAGTGTACTTGAAGGCCTAAGATGTTACTGAACCCTACTATAGATATTACTAAAAATATACACTACACCAAGCATTAAAATTATTTTTTTTATTTTTAATAATAAATTAAATCTAGCTCACTGTAACATTTTACTTTA